TATGGCAGCTATAACCAATCAGAAAATGAACGGGAAAAGATATCCCCTTTACAGTGACCTCCAAATGTTGAAGTATCTGGGTATAAATATATGAGGGCACATACGAAATCTATATGAAAGTCTATAGAACTAAAGAACATAAAATACTCAAATTCTTTTGAGAGTCATACCTACTAAATAGGGAGATTGAGTACAGCAATGATATTCCCTAATTAATTGTTAAAATAAATGTAACCATAATCAAAACTTTGACAGGTTTCCTTGACAAGCTGATGCCAAAATTCTGTTAGAAGAGAAATTGTGGGAAAATATTTAAGAACCAAATAGAAAAATAACAAGAAACTATGTGTTCTATCAAATATCAAAACACACTGTACAGAGCTAGTAATTAAACAATGTGATATTAACCAGGAATAGGTAAATAGATCCATGGATCAGAATGAAGTCCAGAAACAAACATACACACACACAAAGGGCAACATTTGAAAACAGAGAAGTTTAGTCAATAATGCTACTGGGACAATTAGCTCTGCATTTGAAAAAATGAAATCAGATATCTACCTCATGTTAAGCACCAAATAAATTCTAGATGGGATAAAAAACTAAATACAAAAAAATCACAAAAGTATTAGAATGTACTATCAAAGCATATTTTAACAGAAACAGAGATGGCTTTGAAAGCAAGACAAAATTCACCAAAGCCATAAAAGAAATAGTAGATTTGTTATTCAATTTTTAACACTTATTAGTGACAAGAGACCTTATAATCCAAATTAAAGGCCAAGTAACAGACTAGAAAAAAATAGTTGACTAATATCCAGAATATATGAAGTCCTGTAGAGAAATAAAACACCACAAATAGGAAGGTGGACAAAGGTGATAAATGGACACTATGCAACAAATGAAAGGTGCAGATTGCCACTGAAATGAAAAGATACTTAGCTTCACCGTTAATTAGAAAAATGACAAAAGGAAAATTAAGAGGTATTTTTCAATATTGGCAAAATTTTAAAAAGATTAAGAATAATCAGTCTTACTAAAAGTTTGAGGAAATGGGTATTCAAATATACTATTGGTGGAGATGTAAACTTTTGTATCTTTTGGGAAGAACGATTTGGTAGTATTTAAGTTGAAAAACAAGCAAAAACTTTCTGGTCTTCTAGTTTTGATTTTAGGGTATATGCTTATTTGTACAAAGATATATAGGTGTTCATCACAGCATTATAATAACATCATAACCCAACATTAGGAGAAAGGCTTAATCAATTATTATAATATCATTGATAATGAGGAAGACTGAATCAAGATGGCAGACGAGCACATCTACCCCAGATCCCAACAAATAATAGAAAACATATTTTTATGAGAATAACTCTATAACATCCTGAAAAATGAGAATGTTTCTAGTGAACCAGAATTTTTAAGGAATTGTTAAACTATATTGTTAAGTGAAAGCAACTCACTTTTTAAAAGTGTAATATCACATTCATGAAAAAAGCTATCCATGGCTGTATTATATGTTTGACATAAAAATTGTCTCGACGGATACACACCAAACTGTTGACAGTGGTTGCTTCTAGAGAAGGGATTGTGAATTCAGATGTGAGTGACGATAAAGGAAGATTTACTTTTTAAAAAAAAGAAGAAAGGAAGAAAATTAGAAGGCGAGCAGATAGCAGTGTAGAAGCTTTGCTTACTTTAAACTCTTGCCTAGTTCCTTGAACCTCACCTGTTCTTTCCTGCAGCCCCTGAGGAATCAGGCTGAAGGGGGAGGGACACTCCGTGGGGGAAGACGGCCACCTGTACCAGCACCCTGCCCTGCGGAGTCTCTTCTTGGGCAAGCTGCCTCTTTCTTTGTACACGTCTTCCGGCTCCTTCAGCCACTTCTTTTGGCTTCCACTCTGGCCAACTCCCAGGTTTTTTTCCCCTTGTGGCTCTGTCTATAACTGGCATTTCCAGTTGTTTCCTGTCTATTTCCATTAATTCAAGCATCCTCATTCTTTGTCATTTTCAGTGGGTTGAGTTCATTAGCTGTAGAGAATAAAACAGAGAAATAAAAGGTGAAGATGGAAATTCTGTTTTTCCTAATTGTACTGAAAAATAGTCCCAAATGGAAATAACCCTTTTGGCTCCTAATATTGGAATTTGAATAGCATATATATTCCACTCAGAGACTTTATTTGAGCATTTCTTAGGATTTAGGGATTTAGATCTTTCATTGTTCTCTAGAATGTGTGTTTCACCAAAATAAATTGCGTGGTAGTCACCAGTTTGGTTCTCTCAGCAGTAAACATATTTTCCAGCAGGAAAACTGGGTCATAAGAATTCTATCATTTAACAGGACAAGAGTAAAATTCGTAGGAAAACCACAGTAGAATAGCATTGGTAGGCAAAACTTTAAAAAATAACATGACCTTCAGATCCATAGGCACTGAGGATATGAAATTAATAGTTCCTGTCCTTGAGGTTCTTACAGTCAACCATCCACTGCGGCTGTAGAGTCAGTCATTGCGTGATATCTAACCTTATTTTATCCTCTCACACATGACATTTTCTCCATGCTTAGATATTAATTATGTGGTGCTATGGCTTCCTTCTCTTTCAGGCAAAAATAGAATTCTTATTAGTTGGAGATGTCACTGTTCACTACCTGGCTGATACAGTACAGAAAGTCTTCTCAAATATAGCAGAAGTCACCGTCACCACCAGTGACGTGAAGAAGGCAGCGGCGCTTTTGGATGACTGCACATTCAACGTGGTTTTCCTGAAGATGACTTCTTTAAGTGCTGAGGAGCTGGAAACTGTCAAGTTAATTAGGTAAACTTCAAAAACCTTGACTCTGTATCTTTAGAATATTAATAGTTTTTTAAAAACCTATTTCTATAAAAATCCTTAAAAGCTGAGATATTCCTACTTATTTAAAAAAATTTTATTTTTAAAATTCATGGGCAGAATCTCTATATGTTTTTATTGCCAGTTTGACATACTGTTATAAGAAATTATCATTTTAACTTGAAAAGCAATAAGTATGGGCGACAATGAAGTGACTTGGTCATAAAAATGAACCGATCATAGAAATTTATTTGGTATGTGATGCTTACATTATCCCCATACGTGCTCCTTTTTAATTACTGCATCATTGAAATGGTGCATCTTTTCAGAGTTCATTAATTGTTACAGCAGATACTAAAGCAGGTGAACGAACACTCTTTGCCCTTTGTCATGTTAGCTGTGGACTGGGGTGTCTCTTGGAGCCATGAGGGCCTCTGGATCCACTGAGCCCAGACACTACCACCTCCAGTGTTTTTGTTTAGTCTTGTAGCTCCATAGTCCTGCTTCCTGGTCACCCACTCCAGCTCTAGAGAATTGGAGTCCAGTGGTGGGACAGTCCCCTGCCTGACTATATAGGATTTTGAGCTGTATAGGATGTGTTTCAACAGGATTAGATGAGAACAGATTTGTTCCCCTTCTATGAAACACTTGATAGAGATAGTGGAATGGTAGATAATATTGGAACATATGAGAGCTTGTTAAAATTATATGACAGGCCTTTCTAGGCTAAAAGAGAAAGTTCAGAGACAATATTGTGATCCTTGAATAAAGGAGCAGGCAAATGATGTTAGGGGAAAAGAAAGGTTGGAATGAAAAGAAGCCCAAGCCATTGAGTCACTTGTTAAACAGAGACAGACAGGTAGACACTACTCCTGGGGTTTCCTAGAACGGTTGATCTTCTGCATCTCTTTTGGCTTTCTACTAGGGATGCGAACTCTAGACAAACCAGGAAAACTATCTACGTCAAAGTGGATTTCACTTCCAAAACATGTTGTGAGCTATCTTCCCGAGAATATGCCTATTTTATTACATACGATCTAGAGATAAGAGTTCCCCTGTTGAGGACTCATCATAATTTTTCAATTATATCATATTTTTAAATTTCTACAATTTAGAAATTGGGTGGAACAGGGTTTCATCCTCCCTACTTGACAGATGCGAAACCTGGGGCTGAAGTGACTTACCTAAGACCACATGGCTTCTTTGTACAAAACTCAGACTAGAACTGTTTACTCTTCCCTTCATGTGCTTTCTAGAAGTCTGTTATTACTCGATTTTTGTATTGAACCTCTTTTTCACCTCTGGGGTTCAGTATATGCCAAGCTCAGTGTAAACAAACATAAACATGGTTTGGGGGCAGTGCTGGAGAGATCAGTACGGCTGGTCTCTCTCTTTATTCTAAGAATAGGATCCTAGCCATGCCTCTCTGAATGGAGTAAAGCTTTGTATTTGCTCATTATCCAAGCTAAATTTTGAGCAGGATAAGAATAAAGTTCCGTTTAAGAACCAGCTTTATGTTTAGTTGCAATTATTAAAACCTAGGAGATTAAAGGAGAGAATTTCCTGTTACTTCTGTGGATTTTCCTCACTGCAGCTTTTATTGCTCTGAATAACAGCTTAAGATTTCTTAGCAGAGAAAAGAAGGTAGATGAAGGTACTAAGTGTACAGATGTGCATATGGTAATTCTATTATTTTTCTTTAAAAGCATTTGTTTGAAAAGGAAAAAAAGGATAATTTGTAGAATACACCTGGATTTGTTTTTCTTGTGTGTCTCTTGTTGCACTATTCCCAATATCCAGCGTGTGTCTTGACAAACAGCAGGTATTAGCTTCCTTGCTGTAGGCGTGAGTGAGTGGTGATATGGATCAGCGGGAGAAATGTCATTCTGTGGCAGACACTGAGTTCTAGCTTTTGTGTTCCTCTCTGAAAAAGGGATAAAGTTTTTTTTGTGGAAGCTTTGCTTTATGATGCTGGCTTCAGAGGCTAGGAATGTTTCTGAAATTCCCTTTCCTACCCTCAGCACTGTTATGAGTTTATGATTTATGAGTTATTTAAACCCTTCTGCGAGACGTTTATAGTTTTCACCTGTAGTTTTTCTTAGAGTAGTAAGTCTTCTACATGTTCTGCCCCATTTATAAGGCATTTAAACTGTCATCTTTCCTAAAGTACAGTATCTTTTGAGTGCTGGCTAACATTTAATGACCAAACCAAAATGCCAAATCTGGTTTAGCTTTTCATCTGCTGTGTTTTAGATTTTTCCCCTTAGATCTTTGTTGCATTTTTGTAATATCTCAAAATCTGGGTAGGTTTAGAAAAATGTGCAACTACTTACCTAACTCCTCTCTCTGGGCACTTTGTATCCACTGCCAGTGAATGAGGAATTTACAATAGACTAAAAGTATCTATCTATAGTTATTTTCAGTATTAAAGCACCTAGTCACAAATATATATGTCTGTAAGGCATAATTGAAAATAAGAATGAAGTTTAGCTTGTTAGCTATAATATTAGATTTATTTTAGAATAAAATGAAAGCAGCCTCCTTAAAAGATTCTTAAATTTATTCTTACAGAACTATGTCTTAAGCTTGGTGCAAACTATTGATAAACTTTAATCATTTATAAAATATTGGTACCTTACAGACTGACATTCTTAGGAATTATGGCACTTTTCAATTATAGGTTAGTGTTCCTGATAGTTCTCCCTAATTTGTTTTTATTTCATGAATGTATTGAAAGAATGTATTTTTATTGAGCAGATGAACTCAAACCTACCCAGTGGTAAAGTATTTTAAGATAATCTTAGGATTCATTTGCCTGGCTCCAGAATTCCAGGGATATTTCACTCTTAGCTTATGTCAGTTCTCAAAATTGAGCCACACTCAAAGGGCAGATGCTTGATTATTCAGACACGTCCTGACACTTTATCTTCCGGAGGCAGGTAGAGAAAGTTGCAATATGTTTCAAAGTCATCAACAATGTATGGATCCTCTCTCAAGTTCTGATTTTCCTTTCTATGAAATGGCTCTGCAGTTCTCAAAATTTCACGATTCTCATGAGCTCAGAGCAGTTTGGCAACAGGAAAGGAATGCATGATGTTTCATCTGCTCAGTCTACAAATCAAATTTAGGTCTGATTTCATTTTCCCTCATGCAGTTTGTGTGATCATTTAACTTATCACTTCACTAAGAAAACTCAATCTTGTGAGCCCCAGAGTTCTAACAAGTTGTCCTTTTGTGTCTCCCAGAACATCCTTGACTTGATAATGTAACTCAGTAAATTTTATTATTAATAGTTTGCATAACTTAGTCCTCTGAATATTTGACGATAAATACAATAACAACAAAACATCTAAATAGTTTTACTAAAAACTTTTCCTATAAATTGATGGTGGATGTGAATAGGAACTGAGGAAGAGTCTAGAACTTTGTAATTTCTAGCACCTAACATGGTGAATGTTGCAGCAGGAACTCTTCTGTCCAACAGCAGAGCGGGAACAGGACATGCCAACCTTCACTGTTGTCCAGAATAAACCATCAGAGTATTATTACATTTTACTGCAGGTGCCCTATAAATAGTACATGAACTCAGTATTTTTGTATTTATAGTAAAAGTCTTGATTTTCTACTGAAAGGGGATATTTTAATTAAGTAAGTAATTAACAAAGAACATTATTTGTTACAAGTCCCAAAGAGGCCATGCCAGGTTAGCTTGGCTGCATTAAGCCCATGGACAGAATAATGGATAACTGTACTCAAGAAGCCACAACCCAAAGGTGACACTGGCTTTTGTTCCTTGAAGTCCTTATGACTCTACAGGAAGTAGGATTAGAAATTTCTCCTGGCTTCACAGGGACTTATAAGACCCCTTTGGCCGTCTTAGATGATAGCTTTCAGAGGGCAGGGCTTTCCTGAGACCCTTTGATAAACAGAGTATCAGAGTGTACTACTTGGCTCAAAACACTTTTATGTGATCTTTTTGTTTTTTCAGCTGCCAGAGTCCAGAACTAGGGATGGGACAAGACAGAGGGTGAGGGTGGGCACTGCTGCAGTCTGAGCTGATGGCTGGCTCCAGTTCCATAGGGCATTGGAGGGAGGGAGGCGTAGGAGTGGAACATAGAGTATCAGTGTCCAATCTCATATTTGAGGTATAGTCTTAGGAAATATCATGACATTTAAACAGTATAATCTGTGAAAGAAGAGGAGAAAATAATTCTCCCCATATGAATTGCAAAAGTTTAAAAGACAAGAGACTTCATTTGAGAGGCTCTGAGAACCTGCAATTTGATTTTGGCATATGGAAGATGAAGTGGTATCAGTTGGGGTGGGTAAAAGCGACTATTGTTTTGTTTTTGGGTTGCTTAGTTTTATTTCAAGGAACATTCATTCATTAGAAAGCAAACATTTTCTTGTTGATCCTGGGAACTACAAACTCTTTTAGCATATTGATTTGTAGAGAATGTGAGTGAGCGACGAAGCTTAAGACCAGAGTGCTGGATTCTGGGAACTATATCGATCCTAGAGTCCCTGTGCAGCAGGGGGGGTGTGTTGGTTGGTAATTGGTTCTGTGCCAATGACAAAAGTCCAAGAATTCCAACTCTGTCTGCTGTAAAGCTTGACATTTGAAAGTCATCAGGGCATATAAATCCATATATCCAAATCTAATATGCTTTAGTGTCTGTAAAATCAATTTGTATAATTTTTCAAAAATGGACATAAGATGATTTCTAAAAGTAAAGAACCTTTTTTTCCTCCTTTAATTCTAGAATACTTTAAGATAATTTACTTTTCTATAAATGTATAAAGTATTTTTTCTTTTAACAGTTGGACTAAGCTACCCAATAATTTCTTTCAGTGGTCCTATCTGTTCAGTCCATTTTCCCCTTCCACCTGTCTTTCCTCATCCTGTTTTCCATACCCCCATTATATTACACATTTTCTCATCACTTAAAAAATATGTATGGGCCAAGGTGCAGTGGCTCACACCTGTAATCCTAGCACTTTGGCAGGCCGAGGTGGGAGAATCGCTTGAGGTCAGGAGTTCAAGATTAGCCTGAGCAAGAGGAGACCCGTCTCTACTAAAAAATAGAAAAAATTAGCCAGGCGTGGTGGTGTGTGCCTATAGGCCCAGCTACTCGGGAAGGTGAGGCAGGAGGATCATTTGAGCCCAGGAGTTGGAGGTTGCAGTGAGCTATGATGATGCCACGGC